GCCAAACGCGCAACAAGCGCGTGCAAACTTCCTCGTTAGCCATGTCTGCAAGAAGCCCGGAGACGAAAAGACAGAGAGCCAGAGCTCCGCGAGCAGATCAGCCAGATGTCACTATGGGTGCCTCAAGCGCTAGGCAAGTAACTCCTCTTACCGCTGCGGAACTAACACAGGCCTTCCTCGCCCACGAGGACCAGCTCAGCATCATACAGGCCCAGACCACCATCGTGTTCAAGCTTCCGGCGGAGGGCAGCATCGCACGTGCCCTGCTGGCTGCGGTGCAAGGCTGGCAGCGAGATCATCATCCCGGGCAAGCCCATCCGCATGGCTCGTGCAACCAAGCAGTCTGCGCTGTCCTTCTTCACGAGCTTGCCAAATCAGCAGTGCCTACGGGGCTATCTCAGGATAGCTTTCAGAGCTTTTCGGAGATGGCGGCGGAGCTAGCCAGCCAAAAGACTCCGGCAGCATGTTGGGCGAGATCTCACATTGCTCGGCACGGGCAAATGCGAAGAAGACCCACGTCATTCTGGACCTCCGGCCGGTGCTGTTCAGCTCGATCGCCAAGCACGCAGACACCATCATCAAGCTTCTGGAGAGCTATGAGGGGGAGAAGCTGGGCAGAAAGCCGCCAGGAGGGCTCACCCGTCGAGCTCGAGGTCGCCCTTCCGACAGCAGCGGCACTGCCTGACAGCCCCAGCACTGCTGAGCGCGTAAAGTGTAGGCCAGGGGCTTTCTTTTCTTTCAACAGCGCCCGAGGCACTGCCAAACGCGTGCCAGCGCTGCTGCGCTGTCGAGTAGCTCTCACTCATGTGTGGCCACGGCAGATAAGTCAGCCTATACGGGCTCTGGAGTACCGCTCATAGCACGGTGTGCGGTTAAGACAGCCGCTGCTTGCTTCACGCTTGGTACAAGAAGCCTACTCAGACAAAGCAGGTGTCAGGCGCAGCAGTACTGAAGCCTGTTGCGGCTCGAAACACCCAGGATTTCTTGCATCATGTCGGGCCTGACGCGTGAGTCGGTGCACTACTACTGTTCGATCGTCATTGGCAAGTCGGCGCAGCTGGAGAAGGCGACGGCCACCACTCAGGAACCGCCGGCGCCAGGTTTGGCGGCTCGCGCAGATTTTTCTGGAGCCGACGGCAAGGGTACGCCCGCTGCTGTCCTACCATCCGGCAGGGCTCTGCCTCCTACACCACCTGAGCCGAAAAAGCGTAGAAAATCGTAGGAGGTAGGTTAGCCTACGGATAAGGGAGCCAGTCTGACCAGAGCACGAAGTTCAAGAAATAGTTCTTCTGGCAGGTCTGAGTAGTTGATGGGAGCATTGGCAGCGCAGGCGGGCCTGTCACGCAAGGTAGGCACGCATTAGCACCCTTCAGGATTGTATTCACTGCTGCCTCTATCTCAGAGCTGTCCAATTCTAGCCAGGGCACTGCCGTAGCACTGGCACTGCCATGCTCTCCGACATCCATGGCCCCACTCCTGCCTTCCAGCCTGTTATGGACCTTTGTGACAATGACTGCAGGGGCCTCATACACAGCACACACCGCGGCGTGCGAGTCGTACGTGATCAAAGCAATGGTCGAGGGCCACGAAGCCCCTTAGCCAAAGAACACGCCAGACTACGGCGGCTCCCGCGCTTTCACTTCCTCCCGCAGTTCTATGCCAAGACTTGGGACAAGTGCCTTATGCCTCGATTTCGCCGACTCCCCTTCGAGCTCCTGACGCAAGAGCACCTGCCAAAGCTACTTGGAGATGTAAGCGCTGCCTTGCGGGTGCTCCATGCGCATAACATCGTCCACGCCGACGTGCGCCTGGACAACATCATGCTAAGGCCCTGGCCTCCAGGCTTCTCCGCCACGAGAGCAGTCTAAGACCGCCGCGCGGGTGTGTGCCAAGCCATTTTTGGACGGGGCCTCAAGTTTCCACAGCTCAGCCATCTCTTCCGGGCTAAGCATGACGAAGGGTGGGGCAGACAGTCTAAGAGCCCTTAATAGACTGCAGGCATAGCAAGTGACTGGCCAGCACAACACTAAATGGACCTCGGTGGCAGGGCTACGCACGCAATCGGTTTTCCGCGCAGATCTGAATGAAGAGGGTGTACCTGCAGAGGGCTTACCTACAGCCATAGCCAGCTGAAAAACTGCTAACATGTCTGGCAACGCAGCTGGCCAGCAGTGCTGGGCGAAGGCAGTGCCTTAGGCCTTCTGTTCTCAGCAGTGCAAGCAGTCTGGCAGTGCCTCACCCGGTCTGAGGCGCTCGCGGATGGTGTCCAGCAAAGATTCGAGCATGGCCTCGAGGTGGCGATGGCTTCGCAAAGCTCGTCCCGGGTGAGGGAGTTGCGGCGCATCAGCTCCGAGGCTACAGACGTCCCCGCAGATGCCGTAGAGGGAGGGGCCCTCCAGACTCCTTGCAGCGCCTCCCGTGGGGGGTGTGGAGGCGGTTGAGGAGCAACAGCCGACTCCATTCTCAGGTAGCCGTCGTCATTGCCGTACGTCCTAAAAGGGTGCACCTCCTCCAAGATGTGCCGGTACGTGCTGCTCTTTCCTCGCCGTCCGCCTCGGGGGCAAACTTGCCGTCCCTGTTGCCAAAGCGGTCAGAGTCCTTAGAGTAGATGGCCGTCGTCTCCACGACATCACCCTGGCGCCCCCAAAGCTTGGCACTGACAACCACGACACAGTCCTGAGAGGCGCCAGGAGCCACCAGGTAGAATTGACTTTGGCCTGGGTGAATGCCTCCACATCTGCGGACACTGTCCCGGGAAGTTCCTTACTCCAATCCGGCAGTGATTGGCATGCTTAAAGACAACCTCCATAAGAAGGTGAACGTGGCCCTGATCCCCATTGAGGACTCCATACCGGAGGATCAACAGGTCCACTACGACTGGATAGGGGGCGCAAGGGCAGGATGTCTGGGAGCTGGCAGATCAGCGCATCATGACGCTCGAGCTGCTTGTTCTCACCAGGTTGTACACCAACAAGGACAAGCTGCACTTCCACTCGGCCAGCGCGGAAGCAGCGATCAGGGCCCTCACTGTCAGGGCGCTCAGGGCCATGGTTTCTTCCAAGCCGGAAGCCTTTCAAGTCCTCCTGGTGTGCTCCTGGAACGTCAAGTTGCCCAACGTGCACCGTGAGATGCTGGCTACGAGAGAGCTGTGCCTTGCGGAGACGGTCGGCGATTTGTTGCGCTTCGCGATCTATGTGGTCCCTTCGCTACTCTTTTGGAGGAGCCATAGAGGATCGGCCTTTCCCTCAGGGCGTGATGCAGACTTACATGCACGACTCGAAGCCGGAGCCCTCTCAGATGTGTCGGAAGTACATGCCGGACATGACTCGAACCTTTTGCGATGATGAGGACATCCGACAGACCCTCCTGGATCACGCGGAGAAGTACAGCAGGGACTTGTACAATGTCTTGCAGAGCCCTGCCCATCGTGCGGACCTGTTCCGGTACGTGTACTTGTGTGAGCATGGTGGTCTCTACCTTGACATCAAGTGCTTGCGAGGATGCAGTTTGATGAGCTTCGGTCTTGCCTAGCTGAGGAGTGGGGCACTGCCCAGTCTTACGCGCACTCTGCGCTGGGGCACTGCCCGTCTCCACCCGGGCAGCTTCCGAAGGACTACATGGTCATGGCCATAGGCAACCGTGGCGATTTTCCAGGGCATTATTTACTGCCGACCTCGCCACCCGCTGCTCCTGGAGGCCATCATTCAGTTCTACAGCCCGGCCATCCTCGAAGGGGCGGCGGCGAGCGACTACCTCATCTTTTGCAAGTTTCTCTATGGTGGTCTCAGGGAGAACCTGGGACATCCTCCGCAGCACGGATGGAACATTTCTAGCAGATACGGTCCGATCTACCTGCTGAGGGACTCGGTGCTGGAACTGGAAGAGAGGCTTCGCTGGCGACCTGGGGCTCGTATCACACGCCAAATTCCTTCCTGACGGACCAGCTCTCCTCTACAGCAGCTACCTCCGCGGCGCCACGCCAAGGGCCCTGCCCAGATCAAAGCAAGTGCTGGGTGCTGCGGCTCCTTCAAATGCTTCTACAAGCGACCAGGACAGGCATGCCCAGGGCCCAAGACC